GTGCGGTGGCCGCATGCGAACGCTGGCATTTGGGCCTTCGGGTGGGCTCCCTGTGGGGCCACGAAACGTGTGAGGGGTGTGCCGGAATGGGTAAAGTGGCCGCATGCGAACGCTGGCATTTGGGCCTTCGGTAAGGCTCCCTACGGAGCCGCAGAACGTGTGAGGAGTGTGCCAACATGGGCGCGGTGGCCGCATTCGAACACTGGCATCTGGGCCGTCGGTGGGGCTCGTTATGGAGCCACGAAACGCGTGAGGAGTGTGAACGCTGGCATTTGGGCCTTCGGTGGGGCTCCCGATGGAACCACGAAACGTGTGAGGAGTGTGCCAAAGTGGATGCGGTGGCCGCATGCGAACGCTGGCATTGGGGCCTTCGGTGGGGCTCCCTATGGGGCCACGGAACGTGTGAGGGGTGTGCAGAAATGTGTGCGGTGGCCGCGTGCGAACGCTGACACTTGGGCCTCTGGTGAAGCTCCCTGTGGGGCCACGGAACGTGTGAGGGGTGTGCCAAAATGGTTGGCTGGTTCGGAGGGCAGAGGCAGGGATCGGAGGAGGAAGGGGAGCGAGGAGGAGAGGAGACGCGGGGTGTTGTCTCTTCAAGACGAGGGCGCAGCACCACAGGATGGCTGGAAACAACCCCGAGGCTTCGAGGGTTTAGCTGCGGAGCCTCCACGAATCGATTTGAAAATCTGCCGCACCTTGATTTCTCTTGTGTGGCGCCCTAAAGAACGAAACCCCGAGGTTTCGAAAAAAAACACTGTTGTTGTTGCTGCTGTTGTTGTTGTTGCTGTTGTTGTTGCTGTTGCTGTTGTTGTTGTTGTTGCTGTTGTTGTTGTTGTTTTGCTTTGTGTTTCTGATGGTTCCCTCATTGATTTTGACTGTACAGGCACAAGGGAAACCAGTTCCCATCCTCGAACGACGTCTTACGTTTCCATAAACCAACACAGATGTTCCATTGTTGTTTTTCAAAACAATGAGACAACATGTTCCAGGGCTTGGCTTTGGCTGTTCAGGCACAGGGAAACCAAGGTCGGGAGCAGATTGTTTCATAAGCTTCATTGAAGAATTAATGAACACCTGACGCTTTTATACGAAAGCCTTTGTTCTGAAAGATGGGGACTCGTTTCCCTCATGCCTGCACAATCAAAACCCAGATGGGAGACAAAAAACAACAAAATCAACTTGGTTCCGAGGCCTCGGGGTTCATGTGCGACTGCCAATATAATTGGCGCATGCTTCGCGATAGTAAACGTCCACCCACCGTTGCTGGAGGCCTTTTGGAGAGGGAACGTAATTGTATATGTGTTGCGCGAGTTCCGGAAAGGCCCGGACGAGAAACTGATTTTTCCAGGTTGCTCGTCGAGGTTTCCAATTTGTTTGTCAAGGATTATCGTGTCGGCGCGTGTCCATGTCAACATAACGTGCGCATCTTTCGCGAGAGCAAACGCTTACCGCTGCCCTCGAGGGCTTCTCGAGGGCCAAAAAACGGAATTGCGTTCACGCTTTACCAATTCAGAGCAGGTCGGGGCACGCAACAACGAGCTCCGGCGCTTGGCGCAGATCATGCCTCCTGCAATCGTGCATGTCAATCGCCCTCTCCGTGCCGTATGTTTCGGCAATTTCGTTGTTTTGTAAGTGTTCGCAGTGTCCAGTGTGCGGGTTCCTTTCGAGCGCCTTCAAGAGGGAATCCCTTGGTCGCTTGGCACAGATCATCGTACTCGCACTTAGAAATTTAAGTAGCACGCTCAGCACTTTTCGGAGGCATAGTTTTTGTTACTGAAATGTGGTGGGCGCGATTTGCGGATGCCTTTCGGGTGCCTGCTCGGGTGCCTTCACAATGGGGTCCTTGGAGACAAAGTGGTTCCCCAGGTGCCTTACGGGGAGCTTGTCGCGTGCCTTGCGGGAGTTTTCCGTAGTGCCTCGCGGGTGTTTTTCTGGTGTGTTTTTTGGAGTTTTTCGGGTGCCCTCGGGGTGTTCATCGAGGGCAGCCAGTAAGCACCCCGAGGGCACCCGAAAAGGCATCCGCGAGGCACCTGCAAAGAAATCCCCAAGGCACTCGGGGGACGCTCAACGCACGATAACTCCTTGGTGTCTCCCCTGGTGTTTCCTTTGTGTCTCCCCTTTGTTTGTTGAGGCCCTCGACGGCCTCCAGTAAGCACCCCAAGAGAACCCGAAAGGCCTCCATGATTGTTTGTTGGTGTACAGTTCCTTTTGCAATGAGATGCCATTCAAGGCCAATGCCCGCATGTGCCGATTCGGGAACACCTTTTGGCGAACATAGCGTTTTCAATATTACTCTCTGGCGGCCCCCCTCGCCTGACTGTGCTGCTGGTGCTGTTGCTGCTGCTGCTCGTGTTGCTCGTGCTCCTGATGTTGCTCGTGCCTCTGATGGGCGCCTCGCGAGAGCACGTTGGCTCTCGGTCAGCAGCTCGTTCTTCGGAAAAGCAATTCGATGATCGAGTCCGCTCTGCACAGCGGTGCTACGGGCAGATCGGTCAAGGTATGTTTCTGAAGACGGTCGATATGTTTTAGTGTGGCTAGTCGAAATAATTGAGCCTGTACTCTCACGCGCACAAGCCTCTTACATATTAGAACGGTGCTGCACCTTACTTCTCGACAAAAAAGAGACATGTATCGATCACAGTGGTGGGGCTTTGCATATATAAATGCATTGAGAGAGGAGGGGGGGAAGAGAGAGAGAGAGAGAACGACACACATACACATTATCCCTCTCGTCTCTTTCTCTCTGTGTCTGCCTGTGTCTCTCCCTCTCTCTCTCCCTCTCTCTCTCTCTCTATGTTTATCTTTCTTTCTCTTCTAGATGTATGCTTAAAGTTTTGTATCTCTCGATGGTTCAGCATCACGATACTCTGTTTACTGTGTCGCCCTGTCGGCTCGATCTTCCTGTCCTCTAAAGGGCGATATCTATTCTGTCTGTTCAATTTTGCCCTTGAGAAATGCACCGTCCACTCTATATGATCGACTCCCTTTCCGTGGTCGCAAGAAACGAAGTATAGCCCAGAACTACAGAAAGTGGGTTGGGAAAGCTAGGGCCGGGAATCTGGGCAACAGGGAGCTTGGCCGCCCACCGAAATCGGCCCAGAACCATGAAACAGGAACCCGAGAAGCCACCCGTCAACCGAAATCGGTCAGATGTTACATGTAGCCTTTGAACATCAGTTCGGATTCTCTGTCGAAGCATCGATCGGGACAGATGTCGATCTCGGTATTTTGTAGGACGTATATGTTTCGATGGACTCACACACATGTCTCTTTTAGATGTGCGCTGCAGATTAGCATACTCTGGAAATGCAATACAGCGAGAACGGTGCCTGGTTTACATATATACATATGTAGACAAGCACACAAATATACATTGTAAATATATACATATGTATGTATAGCTAGCGATGGAGGGTTATAGAAGTGTACACACACAGACAGGCTCATAGTGCCAATTTGATGTCCTGAAATGTGCCACTCGTGACTTGAATTGCGCGTCCAAAGGCAATCACAGATTACGCTACTCCCCGTCTTGCTTATCACCCGAAGCGTGATCCTATGATTTACGCAGTGAAAATGAAATCGATGGATCAAGGTTGAGACTGGTAGATCTTGAAATCGGCCGGTATATCGATAGTGAGATCGGTAGATGTTTAGCGAATTTGGTTGGACATGTGACAGGTGTTCCGTGATTGTTTCTTTTGGATGGCACGAGGTTGTTCCGCAGATGTTCTGCGGTTGACCCGTTGGTGTCCCGGGGTTGTCCCGTGGTTGTTCCGTAGTTGTATCGTGGTTCTCCGTGGTCGTCTGGGTAGTCATCCCGTTGTTATCCCGTGGTTGTCCCGTGGTTGTTTTGTGTTTGTCCCGGGGTTATCTTGGGTTTGTCTTGTGGATGTACCGTGGTTATCCCGTGGTTGTCTTGTGGTTGCTTGTCGGTTTCCCAGGGATTTTTTCTGTAGATCGATAGAGTGCAAGCACGACCAATACATGCTGATTGTGATTTTTGTACAATATGTGATTTAGTGATGTTGTTAGATAGTGATACTCGTTGGCACTGTCGGTAGCAAGGTCGATGTATACCTCGTGAGACAGATCGACGGGGATATTGATACTTGTGTTTCGAGTTTTTGAGGTTGGTAGATCGCGAATTCGATCCGACGCCACTGTCAAACCGAAAGCTGCACCCAACGCCCCAAAACCTCCTAATCACTCGACGGGTGGTCTTATGGGTAGGTACGCGCCTGTCTGGATAGTCACCCCTCCAGTGGAGCGCCTGGATCCCGCAATGGTTTTCGAGGGCGTATCGGGTATCAGGATCCAGCCCAGCGCATGCCTTCCCATCTCGAATGCCTCTTGGGCTCTTGGGGCCTTGTTTGGACCTGTTTGGGGCTCTCGTGCATTAGGCGTCTGGTGACACACCAGCTGGACCTGAGGCCGTGAAGTGCGCCAAGATGCAACATGTACGGGGGGCGTGTGGAAGGCTGGGATGTTCTGCTCAGGAGAGCCGACGGATATTTGAACACGCCCGTGCGCGCCATTGGGGCACAGTGGCGGGCCTCTGGCAGATGAGCCGAAAGAGGGGACCTCTCCACTTGCGCCCACGCGCATGATGCAAGCACGCCTGCGGACCCGAAACGTCCGTAGCCGTGTTGGCTCAGGGCTCTGGCCTGGCCTCCCCGTGCGCTGCCTCAGGCAGACCTCGGCCTCCCCGCAGCTTCTGGGAAGCCTCACCGCCGTGGGCACGCCACCAAGTTCTCGCTTGAACGATGGTCACTCATGCCCCTGCTGGGGGCGCTGCAGAGGCCGATCTGCTGCCTGTCGGCGCTCTGCATGCTCTGCATGGCACTGAGTCTGCTGCCCGCGTGGCGCCTGGAGCTCGAGAGGGAAAACAAGTATATCAACGACACGCCGCAGTTCAGAGCCAACCAGCGTGTCACTCCTTCGTTTCTGCCCCTGCCTGACCGCCTGGCGCTTCTTCAGCAGCAACTCGCTAGTGAGATTCCACGGCGGTGTGTCTAATTGGTACAGGTTTCGCTATGAGGAAGCTCCTACAGGCCTCACGCGGCGCGCAATGGTTGTATTATCCAGTCCGATCTGGGACGACGTTCGCGTGGCGATCTTCCGACAGAAGTCCGACGCAGACCCGACGTCAATCCGACGTCAGTCCGACGTGGATCCAACGTACACTGGGTCTCAAGTCGCGCAAGGCCTCCCAGGATATCGTCCCCATTACCTTTTGCCACCCCAGGAGTTCCTGCGGGCGCCCTTCGTTGAGCTGCAGGGTGCGGGGACGCAGGCCGCACCCGGGGCGCACGTCGCACGCACGCCCACGCCCGCGGCCGTGACGCCAGAGGGCACGGCGCTGCTGGGCGGTCCGTGGAACCGCTCCGGGGGTCTCCGGGTAGTCTCCTCCCCCTCCTCGTCCCTGTCCTCGGCGGCGCGCCAAAGGGGGGGTCGGGGTGAGGGCAAGCGTCCGGGGCAACGTCCGGTTTTCGGATATGTTCCTCGGTTCCCCGCGCTTGTTTGGCCTCCGGATGCTCTCCAGCAGCCGCGCCTCGCCGAGAGCGTCGACAGGGTAATCGGATCTTCCCGAACACGGCCGCCGAAGAGGCGAGTTATGGCCCGATAACCAAGGGGCAACGTCAGGGGGGATAGGCTCAGGGGGGGATGCGTCGACGTCGCCGACGAGGGCATAGCCCTGCCCCGCATAGGAGCGTGCGGATTCGCTGTCGGGGGCCCTGTCGTCGATCTATCGGCGATGTATCGCCGATTCCAGCTCGATGTTTCCCCCCTGAGCCAGCCCCCCGCCCTACCGTTCCCCTTCACATCTGGCCATGATCTTGGCAAGGAGCCTGCAGTGTGATAGTCCTTGGTGAACTCGGCTTGCTGTTCTTCAGGTGGCGGCCCCCGTGGAAGCCCCACACGTTGACGTCACCAACAGCATCGGGTGGCACCTCCATCCAGCATCGATCCGTCGTCGATGCATCGCCGATTCCAGCTCGCTGCCCCTGAGGGGGTGGGGGGTGAGGGCAGGCGGCCTCCGAGGGAAGGCGGGGTGCCCCCTCGCGGGAGGGCTCGGGGACCCCTTTGGGCCCGAGGGCCAGCGGCCGCGGAAGAGGGCGCGGTGCCCGTGAGAGGGGGCCCTCCACGCTTCCTCCTGCGAGCGGAGCTGGGCCGAGGCGCCCCCAGAGGAGTGACGCGTCCATGTCTGTACTGTCCCACCCCTGCCCCCCTGTCCGCTGCACGACTTCCTCCACAGACGGGCACGTTCCAAGCCGCACGGAACGAGCGAGGCTTCTGAGAAGCGCTCGCCCTCCCAGGGAGCCCCCTTGTCGGGGGTGTCTGTGTTCGGCGGCGAGCGAGGGGGGAGGGATGAGAATGACAATGAGAAGGCCTGCTCGGAAGGCGGTGGGGCTTTTGAGAAGCCCTCGCGCTTTCTGAGAGGTTTCCTGTGTCTTCGGGGAGGGCTACGGAACCTTGCCAGAGGGTCAGGGGACCTGCGAGCCTTCTCACTTCCCCCCTGGGCTCGCCGCCGATGTTTGTCCAGGGGGAGCAAGATTCGTCCGCCTGGGCCGGCGCCGGCAGCGAGCAGCACCAGCTTCGCCGCTGCTCTCCAGCCCCCTCCCTCCCAAAAAACAAGAGGAGCGGCCTTCCGAGAAGGCACCCCCGCTGATGGACTGCGTGCTCTGAGCGTGCTCTCTCTCCTTCCCCGCGCCCCCCCCCCCCTCTGTTTCCCACCGTGCCCAAGTCGGCCGCGCGCAGCCCACGTCTGCCCCGGAACGCAGCTTGGATGTTTGCCGACGCGACGAAGAGTCAAGGGAGGAACAAAGCAAGAACAAACAAATCCCCCCACGATCAACGTCTACTTATCAGCACTGGGCGTTCACGAAACAGCCCTGCCCTCGTCGTCTCAAAAGTGTCCTACCTGGGCCGCCCCCCTGCCCACCTGGGGCAAAGCTCAGCTGGAAGAACCTCGGCCAGAGCTCGGCCAGCCGAGTTCGGCCAGGCAGAACTCGGCCAGGCAGAACCCGGCCAGGCCGAACTCGGCACGCGAAGGCTCTACTCGGCTGGCTGAACCTCGGCCAGCGCGAAACTCACGGTGGAAGCTCGGCGGGATAAGATTTCAGCCAGAAAGATTCGGCTTGGGACAACTCGGCAAGGTTGAATCAGGCCAACGGGGGTAGAGGGGGAGGATTCTTTTAAGCACCCCTGTTTCTTAGAAGGCGCGGGCCTTATCTATAGACACAAGGCCGGCGCCGTCTAAGAAGCAGCCTCCTTCTAAGCAGCCTTCCCTCCTCCCCCTGCCCCCCTCTGCGCGCCGCCAAGTCCGGCCCGGCGAACTCGGACGTCGCGCTCCGGCTGCAGCGGGAACCAGCGCTGACTTCGGTCAGACAAGTTCAGCCAGGTTGTCTGGGCCGCTGAACTCGGCCTGAAAAAGATCGGTCAGCTGGGTTCGGCCAGCTCTGAAATCAGGCAGGCGAATTTCAGACTGGGCCGATTTCAGCCTGACCGAGTCCAAGTGGCCGAGTTCAGCCTGGCCGAGCCTGTCCCCTGTCCCACCTTTGCGCACCGCCAATCGTCTCCCCACTCCAATCATAGCGAGAAGCGCCTCCTGATTGTCGTTCGCACTCACACCCCGATGCCGGGGATGCTCCTGCGCATGCACCGATTTGCGAGCGAGGTGTCCAGCGGCATGCCTTTCGCCCATTTCCTTGTATCGGCGGACGACACCGGGCTGGCGCCAGAGCACCAAGCTCAGTTGGATTTGCCGCCATCCAGTGTGCATCGCTACGTGTGGGACGACGTGAAAGAGCAGTATCGAGTGTTGAGAGTTCTGCCTGGGAAGTTCAATCAAAAGGTCAGCGCGCGATATTTCCACATGGAGCCAATATTATTGGCAGTTGCTTTCGCCGAGAAGCACACAGACCTTGCTAACGATGCACTCGTCTGGGTCTTCGAGGACGACGTCTTCATCTGCGGCACCCTGTCGGGATTCGTCAGCCAGTATGCCGAAGACGCATCTGACTTCCTGGGATACGGGCGATACAAAGGAAGCTGGGTGTTTTGGTATTGGGGCTCTGGACCCTTCTTGAGGCGGTACGCGAAGGTGAACCGCACCGTCGAGTTGGAGCACGTGCAGAGGTTCTCCATGCGTTTCGTGCGGCACATGGCCAGCCTGTGCAGGGAGCAGAACTTCACCGCGGAGAGCGAGATGTTTGCCCCGACGGTGTGCCAGAGCGAGGGATTCCGCTGCAGCTCCTTTGACCGGCGGCACCTCGGAGTGTACATGTGGAACACACGCTTGAACCAGACGGCCGCGGGCGCGTCGTGCGCCCGCACGAACTCGAGCGGGCTGTCCACCATCAACCACGCGGGGAAGTTCTGACAATCATCCGACGTTGGTGAAACTTTAGCTTGGTGGCTGAGGCGCCCATGTGGGAAAATAGAAACAGTGCGAGACCGATGTAGGCATACCGCCAGCAGACGGTGCGTGCAGAACAGGACGTGCCAGCAGAGACAGAAGCAGATCAGCCCATCAGGGTATAGAGTAACGCTGCCGTCTGCCGTTGAGGAGAGGAGGCATTTCCTGCCTCCTCCTTTTTCTCCTCCTTCTCACCTGCTGGCCTGCTGGGCCACCAGGGGCCCCCCTCGTCGGGATGATCTGGGCGCCGAGGCGCAGACAAGAGCGAGCCGGGAGACTACTCGCAGGAGAGGGATCCGGGGGCCGGTTCTGAGCGGATGCGTGGTGGTCGGGGCTTTTATGGAGGGTTTCTCCGCAGGTCTTGGGCAATCCGTTCTCCTCCTCTCTCCTCCTCCTCCTCCTCCGCCTCCTCCTCCTCCTCCTCCTCCTCCTCCTCCTCCTCCTCCTCCTCCTCCTCCTCCTCCTCCTCCTCCTCCTCCTCCTCCTCCTCCTCCTCCTCCTCCCTCTCCTCCTCCTCCTCCTCCTCCTCCTCCTCCTCCTCCCCTCCTCCTCCCCTCCTCCTCCTCCTCCTCCTCCTCCTCCTCCTCCTCCTCCTCCTCCTCCTCCTCCTCCTCCTCCTCCTCCTCCTCCTCCTCATCCCTCCCTCCCTCTCCTCTCTCCTCCTCCTCCTCCTCCTCCTCCTCCTCCTCCTCCTCCTCCCTCTCCTCCTCTCCTCCTCCCCTCCCTCCCCTCCCTATCCTCCCTCCTCCTCCCTCTCCTCCTCCTCCTCCTCCTCCTCCTCCTCCTCCTCCTCCTCCTCCTCCCTCTCCTCCTCCTCCTCCTCCTCCTCCTCCTCCTCCTCCTCCTCCTCCTCCTCCTCCTCCTCCTCGCCCTCCCCTCATCGAGTCGCCTACAGCCCCTGGGGAAACCGTCCAGGCTCTTAAGGGGAAAGCAAGCGGGGGTCAGCCAGAGCGCTGGATCTTGCAGGATCCTGCGGAACCAGGGTCGCATCGACCTGCGCTTGGGCGCATGATCCTGCAAAGCTTGGCTATGGCCCAGGTCTGGATGGACCCAGGTCAGTGGATCCCCGACCGGTTCTGAGCGGATGCGTGGTGGAGGCGTGAGCCCAGTGCCGAGGCATGGCCAGGACAAGTTCCTCCCTCTCGCCCACTGCCCCCCAACAAGGAGGGAGGGAAAGAGAGAGAGAGAGGGAGGACGAGGACGAGGACCAGGAAGGAAAGAGAAGAGGCAGCAGATTTAGGGTACCAGTTCTTACACGGGGGTTGTTGGTGGATTGTTTGCGGAAGAGTGTTAGAAGGAGTCGTTTTAAAGAAGAGGGGTGATTGAGAGGATGATGGGGAGGAGGAGGGGGTGCTTGGGAAGAGCGGGAAGATAAGGATGGATGATCAGAAGGAGGAGGAGGAGGTAAAGAAATAAGGAGGAGCGGGAGGCGTTGAAGGAACGGAGCAGCGGAGGATGGAGGTAGGAGGTGGAAGAGGAAGGACGAGCAAGCGGAGGACATGAGACCTCGTCCTTCCTGGCGGCTGCGAACTGCGCAACTGTCGTGGATTTCGTGGGCTCCAAGGAGGCCCAGCGGGG